TTCCCCTTCACCTTTCCACCTATCTCCCTATGCCCCTCCCCTGTGGCAACTATCAGTTTGTTCTTTGTATCTACGGGTCTGTTTCTGTTTTGTTTTGTTTGATTTCTTACTATGGAGGATAAAGATGTTTCTTAATGTGTCCATCTCCTTCTCCATACACTATCCCTCAGCTCAACCTTGCAATACATTTATTTTCTCCACTCTTGGTCCAATCAGTTCATTGTTCACATGATGACTAGGTAAATATTATTTACAGCTATACAACTTTTATTCTCTTGAGTCACCCTTTCTCCCCATTTGCTTCATGTTCTATGTGCCTATTATGAGTTAATCGTAAAACTCTTTGACAAAACTGACAACCTCCCAATATATTCAAACATGTGCGGTTTATTTCTCTTGGATTCCGTCCTTCCTGGGCCCTCTGTCCTCCTGTCTAACCCAGCCTGATTGTTCTCTGCACATCTGTACTGTTTGTTGTCTTATTGGGACAGATTTTAGAACAGCAACCTCTCATTTCGGAAGCAGAGAAAAATGTGTGCAAACTGCCATCTTCAGTAGGACGCCTCTCATTTAAAACATTCTAATCTTGATGAAGCCCTGCAGTTGTTTGCTCTTTTTCCTACTCAAGCTTTGACTTTTTTAAAAATAAAAGATAAAATCATAACTATTTGCAGACTCCAGGGTGAACTGGGTTTATCCAACATCTCAATGGTTTGCTAGTTAACCCAGTGTTGGAGCGTTGGTCATGGAGACTCATTTATGGTTTTGAGACGGTAACTTGCTGAAGAGGTCTAGTGGAAGAATATAGCTTACAGAAGTGCTGAACTCCAATTTACACCATCCCTTGGGCCTTGGGAAAATAGGGCTCATTATTATCTATAAAATTAGTTATGCTGGCTTATGCAAGATGCCTAATGAAATGGAATTCTAAATAAGATTTTTCTAATGGAAAAGATTGTATTATGACAAACAAATCAATGCATAGATTATTTTGGCAATAAGCTAAAACCTTTATTTATTAAATATAATAAAATTCAGACTATCATGCATTTTTAAGTGACCATAAACCCACCATCCTCCTGTAATTATTTTCATGTTTGTGTGTTGCCTTCACTTGCACAGATAATAAAGGGTTTTCATAATGTATATACTATTTTGTATTCTGCTTTTCTATGTTTCCAAATCTTCCTATTATCATTTTTATGCATTATACCTTACTCTGTTAAAGAACAATGATTTACTAAACTATTTTTATGTTTAACATTTAGGAAATTATATATCCTGTCAGTGGTGTAAAGAAAAATTGTACTATAGGTTTTTTGTTTTGTTCTTGTGTTTGCTTTTCTGAAATGATTTCCTATATAAATATATAGGCACGGAGTGATAGTAAAAGAGTCTGAGCTTTGCAACACTTCAGAAGTGTTGCGTTAAGAATGTCACTCATTTAGTGTCTCCTGAGGCCTCTTTTCTCACCTTGGTCTGAGACCCATAGCCTCCAGGACTGTGAAGAAATAAATTTCTGTTGTTTAAGCCAAAAAAAAAAAAAAAAAAAAGAAAAAAGAAAAAGAATGTCACTCACTAATGCAATGTTAAATTAGGCAACATTTCACAATCTGTTTCAAGGTTTCTAGCTATATGCCTTTTAAAACTTGGTGCATATTTATAAATCTAGAAATCAGCTCTTGAAGAGTAGAATAATGTAAGAGTAATGATTAATGTAAGTGCTTCTCATTTATCTGACTAGTTTAAAAAACTTAAGAAGCACAAGTCATTGATCCATGTATTGATTAATTCAGAGTTTAAGGTTTTCTTCTCTTTGCAAATCTATGAGTAGCTGAGTCACCATGTGAGCAACATGAGAAAGAAGGCAGAATAATTCACAAAATGAGTATTATCCTTAATCATGGCAAATGTATCTTTCTTGTAGAAATGAAAAGTATTAATTTGATGGAGAAATTAAATCAGTTATCAGATGAATCATTTTAGCAGCTCACCTTTGCCTAGATAACTCGCTTACTGCTGCTGTAAGAACCTGTAGGGTTTTAAAGCCAGTTTCCTGCTCTTATTCTATGTACTTTATGGGTCTTTTTCAATGTCATGCTTGTTACTGTGTTCAACATTCTGAGTTTCCTCACAGGGAATAAAGGTCCTAAACACAAGCTATCATTTAGCCCATATCCCTTAGAAGGAGTGGATGGGCTTTCAGTAACCAGTTATTATGTAAAATGAGAGTTTGAGTAATTTGAACAAAATATTTTTGCTTCCATCACTAGCTGAGGCATTGGAAAGAGATATGCAAAGACTTGGAAAGACAATAAGGATCTGGTATTGCATTTTCCCAGTGTAAGTGGAACTCCCGCCACCATTCTTTTCCAATTCCGTATTCTAAGAGGACTGAGACAGTGAAATCTTTCTTGTCTTTCAAGTGACATCTTGCAGGGAAGGCCTTGCCTTCAATAAGAACACTAAAGATGCCTGGTGAACTCACTACACTTTATTTATTTTGACAGGGTGTGCGTGGAGAACCTGGTGAACGAGGTTACCAAGGAGAGTTTGGATATCCAGGCCCACAGGTTGAATCAGTGAACCTGTTTTTAGTGCTAAAAAGGATATTTGTTTAAAATTTTAACTTAGATTCTTTGATAGGGGCTTAACATATATCAGAGCCTCTGCAAACAAATTGTATAGCTTCTCTTCTGGGCAGGTTAAACACCAATAACTAATATTTATTGAGCTCTTACCATGTCCTCCATATGGCCCTAAGCACTAGTATTAACTCATTTAATCCTTCAAGTGGGGATGTTGATTACTCCCACCTTACAGGGGAGAACTGGAGGGAGGATGGAGGAGTTAGGTAAATTGGCCAGGCTCACTCAACTACTAAGTGATAAAGATGAGATTCAAACTCAGGCATTATAGTTATAAATTTATTAGGCTCTTAATCACTGCCTCTGGAGATGTGTATTCAGATTACTCAAATAATATTTAATTCATAACAATTGTATTCAATTTGTCAGGAAAAATAAACAATGTGTTTATTGAGTATCTATTATACATAAGGCATTTTGCCAATAGGCCTGGGACATTCAGATCATTAAGGCAAGGATCTTGCCCTCAAGGAGTTCAGCCCAGTGGGGTGTTGTAAACTATTCCATGATAATTGGAAATTTAAACTTTCAACCAGTTCTTTTGGAACCCTCTAAGCATAACCCAAATGTTCTGTAAACACTGCTGGAATGCTTTCTATATCTTTCTTTTAAAAGCCAAATTGTTTTCAAGTACCCTCAAATGGAAGAACTTTAAAACAACAAATTTTACTAACACATTGAATCATTTCCCTGAACTTTAAATATCCTATATGAGTGTCAGATGATAATTTGAGAAGGTTTCTGCTGTTTTTCCACTTGACAAAGATACGAAAGAAAGAAATGGGCAATCAATGTGTAATTAAAGATTGTATTTACTTCATGATAGAAAATAGTATCTGAACATAGGGGGAAAAACTGAGAGATGTATTTTTGCCCTTTCTTTTGATCACTGGCTTAATTCAAACCACTATTGTGTCCTGGCGTTCTCTTTTATATTCACTTTATTATACTGCTGCGTGCAAAAGGCGCAGGTCTTGTGGTGAACTATGAGCAAGATAATCGATGAAGCTCCCCTGTAATTCTCACTTCCCACTGAGATGGGGGTAGGATGGTTTATTTAAATAGATGACTCAATACTTCAACCAGGAGTATAGAGACCATGATCAATGCTTCTAATAGGAAGGCATTTCTTAGAAGAGCTGGAGAAAAATTAGTGTCAGAAATCAGTAAGGTAAAATAGATTGGGAAGAAAATGAGCAATGCCCCAGCCATGTACCCAGTGAGATTAAGCTACTTAAAGGTACTTTTGGTTTTTGATAAAATAAAAATGTGATTTCTTGTTCAGCCTTTGCATGTATAAGAAAAATGTTGATTATTCAAAGGAGAGCACTACCCTTCCAGCTCCTCTCATTCCCTTTTTAGGATTTAAAATTAGTTTGGTGAATTAAAAATATAAAAGCAATGAAACCAATAAAAAAAAAGCAAAAGCAAAAAAAAAGCAATGTTCTCAGACTTTATTAATCATCAAATTCAACCGGAGAGATGGTTAGCAATATGGATGCTGAGGACTCACATCCTGTGTTTTAGATGGAGTGAGTTTGGAGCAAGTTATGCTGGGGGTGCTTAAGGGTGCAGATGCTGCTTGATTACAGTGTGATAAATATGACAGTGATAGGCCAGGGCACCTTGATTTGTGCTTCCATTGGCATCCAAGATGATTTTGTGGTTACATTAAAAATAAGTGTGCAGCTCTGTAAAAACTGGTTGAATTTTGTTTTCATCTTTGGACCAGGGACCAAAAGGAAGGCAAGGACCACCAGGAACTTTTGGACAGAAAGGCTTACGGGGTGTTCAGGTAGGTTTAAAAAAACTAAAAGCTGCAACTCAGCTGCTTATTAACAATGGCCAGTTCATACAACTGTGTGTTCCTGGATAAATAACATAAAGTTACACTGTTTGTTCTGGGACCTGTGAATATCAGGGATTTCTAAAAATGGCTAATTTGATGTACTAGACATTGATCACCAGCTATGTACCCCCTTCTACCTCAGATATTTTGTGGGAATATAGTGATCAATGAGGTTGGGTTTGAGCCTCAAGGGTGTGTAACACAAGCTCACACTTGTCTATAGTGCAAGAAAAAATAGTATAAAGGGAATAAATGACTAATTGCTCCTTACAAACATGTAAGAAAGTAATTACCATCCCAATTTTATAGATGAGGAAACTGAGGCTCAAAAGGATTAAATGACTTGTCATCTAGATAGTCGTTGGCTGAACTAGCCTCTAACTTGGGTCTTTCTGTGACTGTTCTACTCCCCATCCAATATCTCCATGGTTCATAGAAGGGTCAGCCCAGACTGAGGCAGACGATGGGAGTGGCTTCCTAAGGAAGGGAGCATTTGAGATACCTTAAACCTGAGCAGCATGATTTAAGTCAGGGTCAAGAGTGTCTGGAGATTCAAAACAGCAGTTCCAGGGTGGCCCCAGCCCTAGTTCTGTCCTCATTCTCTCCCTTGGTCAGGAAAAGTCAAGTTCCATAACTGGCGGTATTATTTTCATTCTCATTTGATAATGTTTTCTATTTGGAAAGGGTACAAGTCCAGGCATTTGTCTTCTGGTTCCCTTAATCAAACAGTGTTTTTCCCTCTAGTAGTCAGATAATTCCTCCAAATCTTGGTAGGTGGTAGACATGGCCTCGTGCACAGAACACTTTACCCCCTCCCCTCACTCCAACCTCTCAGCCCACTGTTTACATGTATATATGATGCATTTTGTTGGTTGGAGGATAAAATTAATGGTATAAAACATTAAAGGTGATTCATGAACATATTACCAGTTCCGGACTATTTGAATAATAGCAAGAGAGTCAGGTAGCTAACTTTGTGGCCTTTGATGTGATTTTGGTCATGTTCTTGTTGCAGGGGAATCCTGGGCCTCCAGGGACACAAGGTTCAAAAGGAAAAACTGGACCAAGGGGAAGGAAGGTAAAGGTCATAGTCGTAGAACATACTTCCTTGATTGCAACTTGGGTTTTCTTCCACGAATCTCTCCTTATGTCATAATTTCCAGCATGAGTTTCTGATGTGGTTGGTGATTTATCGACTGTCCATTACCTTATAGTGGGATACATAGAAGAGAAGACATATAGACAGACATGCAGAAAGATGGACAGATGGTCCATCCCATGTATCATTAGATAAAGACATCAATGGAGAGATAAATATATGCGTTCACTGCGAATGTGTAGATTCACACACTCACACCTGGAAAAAGCCACAGCAATATAAAATTCTATAACTGATGCTGCTTACCTAGCTTTGCTAGTTTTCAGTACCAAAATTTTAATATATTTTTACTTTTTTATATTGAACACAAGTCTAGAGGAAGCTATTCACCTTAGGCTGTAGGATGATGCCAATGGGACTTGAAAAAGAAGAACAATATAAAACTGCATGAACTCATAAGAGAAAATTAATTTCATCTTTATTCTTTATTATAAAAGGGAGATTATGGTAATGCCGGAGAAAAAGGCCCGTGGGGTCAGCAAGGACCAAGAGGGCAACCTGTAAGTCTAGTTTCTTTGTTGTGGACTCTTGATTGAATTTCTTGTGTATTATTTGCTCTGGTTTTACATAAAATTCTAATGTGCTTGGTGAGTATTTGAGGTAAGAAATATAATATGATCACTAGAGCTGTTGTGAATCTAAAGAGTCAAAGATCCTCAAACTCCTCATATAAATAAAGAATCCAAAGATGTCTTGGGGTTGGTTTTGCCGTCTCGCACGTTGTTGAAGAGGGAAGTACCAGTGAGCCTGTTCTGTTTGACAAAGGTGTTTTACAAACCTTTGAGTGTTGGGAATACAGAGATGTTCAATGAAACATTTTTTTCCGGGGAAACAAGACAGCCAATCAGAGTTGCAAATTTTTAATGGCATAGGTTTGATTATCTGGAACATAGAAATAATCTTTGAAGACCAAGGATCATAAAAGGCTTACTTCAGCAGATAATACTTTCAAAGACAGAGCTATGCATTTTTACCTCAGTCATTCATTGCTCTGAGCATGAGAACAAGTGAGTTGTTTTAGGACTGTTTTCAATTCACCGCCTTACTGGAAAGAGCTTTATGATACAGAGTAATGTTGTCTTTCCTGCAACTCATATTTCTGAGATTTCTTTCACTAGCAGTAGGAAGGACCTGCAGTTATTTTACACTTGGCACTGGAATTGCATTTGTTAGCAAGGAGAGAAAATAAAAGCAGGTCTAAGAAGCTTAAACTTACATGTGGCAAGGGGAAGAACAGAAAGGGATTACTATCAAATGAAATGTAAGGCAAGCAATGTTTTGCACCTATATTCAGTTCAGCTGGTGAAATTAACACTGTTTGACTTCTAAAAACTATCCTGATTTTAAAAAATGCAAAGCTGGTTCCTACAGACCTCTTTCCAGACAGACAAAGCTGGGGAGCAGTGCCTATCTTGAAGGTGGCACTTCAGGAATGTCAGAGGGTGTTGGACATCCGCAAAATATATAGTTTGGGTGTGTGGGGTTGCAGATATTGGAGGCTCTGCACGTCCTTCAGCAGAGAGGTGCTGGAGCAACAGCGAATGAACCTCACCTGCATCTCTTCCCCCCCCAAATTATCTCATTTTGGGCAATCTTCTTTATTTTATCTTCTATTTTAAACTTTTCTCCTTAGCCATATGAATTATCTTTGTGGCTTAAAATTAAAACTTTTTTTCCCCTCAGTTGACCTACTTGTCCATTTAGCATATAGAACCTAAAAGATTCTGAATTCACTCTTTATTACGAGAAGCTCACTTTCCACATATACAGATGCTAAGATCCTAGTAGTATGATATCATCAATGTTTTCATAATTATTATCATCAGCATGACCAGTTACATCATGACCACAGCTACTCCCCTGCCAACCTCATCATGACTACTGTCACCATCAGCGGCAGAGTACCACTTAGCAAGTACTTTCTCTGTGCCTGGCATCAGGCTAAGTGCTTTCCATGCACAATCTCACTTAATCTTCCAACAGCCACACTGTGTAGATGATAGTATTATCCCCATTGAACAGATGAGGAAACTGATGCTTAGAGAGGTTGAGTGATGTGCCCAAGGTCACTCAAACAACTAGCATTAGAAATAGAATAAAAATTCAGATCTTTCTGGGTTTACAGCCTAAGTATTTATTCACTAACCTACATTGCCTCTATTTCAATCTCCCCCCCAACCCCCCCAAGTCTGTCTTTAATCCTAGAGATTTACCAATTCTGGAACTTGTTCCATTGTCATTTCGTCCTGTGAGGAAAGCAGGTTTGCCCAAGGGGAACTTTGTGCAGTGATTTGGCTTTGTGCACCTGTGGTATCATCTTGCTGAGTTACAGAATTTTGCTGAAGAGGGGGTTAAAAATTAAGAAGAAAACACAAAAAACCCTTATATAATTGGTCTTAAAAGCTTTAAACCCTATTTCCTCCTTATCCTTTGAAAGTAGTCCAGTGTTTATCCTATAAAGGTAGGCTTTACCTCCATCAAACCCCTTCTGCCTTCCCCACCTCTGTGCACTGCTGATTCTCCCAAGGGTTCAGATAATATTATCAGCCACGTATTGATCTGGATGACTACAGTTCATCTTGTGTCATTTTCTTAGGGTCATTTTGGTCCCGATGGATATGGACATCCAGGAAGAAAAGGAACAAAGGTAAGGAACAAACTTACAGAGTATTCTGAACTAAGGACTACAGCTTTTATTTTATTTTACTAGAATAAGTTATTACCCTAGTGGCATTCTGGGAAAGGTTTCTGCATGCTGTTTATGACATGTTGTAGCTGCCAGAGTTCCCTCCTTAAAAAATAAAAGCTGATTTTGTCACTCCCTTATTTAAAAACCAAACTTCTTGCTTCATCTCCTACCTACACCAGATATTCCCACCCCAGCACTAGGCATGCTAGGCCCTTTCCTAACCCCTTGCCTTTGTAAACACTCTTGCCTCTATTTGGGATTTCCTTTCCCATCTCCCTGCTTTGGACAATTTTTACTCATTTTCTAAAACCAACTCAAATATCAGCTTATTCTATGAAAGGCTTCTTGGCTTCCATAGACAGAATTTTTTGCCTGTACTCTGTGTTCCTAAAGCACATTGTTCATATTTGTACAGTAACCCGCCCTCTCCTCCCCCCCCCTTTTTTTTTTCAGCTGAGCCAGCCTGCTACCTCTTGGCAGCTCAGCTCAGGCCGGGCATCAAACCACTGTTGCACAGAGCTAGCACTCTTGAGCGAGCTGTTAACCAACTGAGCCACTCGACCTACAGTAGCCCCTTTTTAATTGAGGTTATATTATAATTTATTCCTGCATATGTGTCCACCTCCCACTTTGTGAACTTGATAGCAGGATTGCATCTTACTCATTTTTGTATTGTGGAACAGAGCTTAACACAAAATAGGTGCTCAATGAGTATATTGGAATATTTCTACTCCCATAAAAAGCTGGTATTTTCACATGTAGTTAATGGGTCACTGACAGAGATTTTGAAGCCTGGAAGTCCCATGAAGCTTATTGAATAAATCAAATGTCAATAGCCGCAGTGAATCCTGGTGCTTTAGTTTTCAAGTTACATTTATTGCCTCACAAAATAAGGAATCACTGGGATGTTTAATGATACCCAGCTCCTTAACAGTGTCAGGACTCTGGGCTGATTTCTCTGTCATTCTCTTGTTTCCTTTGTGACCGTGAGATGACACCGTTACTTTATTGAACAGAAAAATGCTCCAAACACAGTAAGCTCTTAGTGAATATCTGTAGAATGATGGACGGTGGGGATGCCAGTGATCGTCTGGTTCAGTCTGGTCGGCATACAGATAGGAAAGCCTGAGACTCAGAGGAGGAAAGTAACTGGCCTGTGATCACATAGCCAGTTAGAGACAGAGCTAAGTGTGGAAACTAGTTCATTGGAGCCCCATCCTGACAAATTAAGTCTTTCTTGTCTAGGGGAGAGTTTGCACAACAGGGAATTCTGGGTAGAATTCAAATGTGCTTGTTTTGAACCACATACCACCGAAGCACAAGGCCAGTCTATGCTTATTGTGATGCACTTAATACTGTGGAGCATGCATGGGTTTTTCCTGGCAAGTCCTAGTGGTCTCATTTTAAGTAGCCCTTACTGCTGCTCAGCCAGCCAACTACACTTTCCTCGTCTGTTCACTCTCCTTTCTGAGTGATCTACTTCATACCTTCTCCTCTCCCTTCAAACCTCCAAGACCTGCTTTCTCTTCCACATTTTCAGCAGACAAACATGCTTCCTATTTCATTAATTAAATGGAAGCAATGAGAGGAGAGCTTCTGTGCACACCCGCCACCATGTAGGCCAAACGACTTGCCTCTGCACCCTGTCTTCCCTTCTGCTGTGGAGATGAGTCTATGCCCTGTCTAAGACTAATCTCTCCTCTCATGGACTGGATTCCATTCCCTTTTTGCTTTCCTAAGGCCCCGGCTCCTGCAGGTGCCACCTTTCTCTTCTGCATCATGAAATTTTCTTCCCTCCACATAGATTATTCACATCAGTATCCAAAGAGGTGGGAATATCTCTCATCTAAAAAAGCCCCCAAACCAAAAACAAAACCCTCACTTAACTACCTACTCCCATTGTCCCATTGCTGTCTGGCAACTCTTTGAAAGAGGAAGTCTGTATACCTATGGTTCTCACTCGGAGGTGATTTTACCCTTCAGGGGATATTTGGCAATGTATTTTATGTACCACAACTGGGGGGAGGGGATGCTACTGGCAACTGGTAAGTAAAGACCAAAGATACTATTTTTCATCTTATAATATACAAGACAGATCCCAGCAAAGGACCATCGGGTCCCAAATGTTAGTAGCGTGGGGCTAAGAAACTCTACTTTCTTTCCTCTGTTCTCTCTGATAACAATTGAGCCTTTACCCCTCAGCTCTCCCCCCTCAACTACATATGCTTTAGTCGAGGTAAAATCCATGGTACTAAATCCAATGGTCTTTTCTCTGCCCGCATCATATTCCATCTCAGCAGGCATTTGACCAAGATGATCGTGGGCTTGTTCTTGGAACCTTTCCTCTCTCATTTTCCAGGACACCCCACTTGCTTGGTTTGTGCTGGCTGCCCTTTCTCAGTCTCCTTTGCTGGATCTTCTGAACGTTCTTGACCTGTAACTATTGGAAGACACAGGGCTCTACCTTCATATTTCTCTCCCTCTTTACTCACTCCTCAGGGGACCTTATCCAGCCCCATGGCATCAAGTACCATCTATCCTGTGATCTCCAGCTTATTTCTCCAGCTCGGACCAATCTCTTAAACTCCAAATGTTTCCACTTGGTTATCCAATAGATACCTTAACATTGCCATGTCCCCAAACAATTTTCTTCTTTCGTTTGTTAGCCTTTCATTATGGAAAAATTCAAATGTATATGCAAGTGGAGAAACTTATATAATGACACATCTCCCCATGTATCCATCATCTAGCTCAAACAATGCAAAACCCTTGACCAATTTTGTTTTGTTTTCTTTATTCTCCCACCCACTTATTCCCCCACCAATTATTTTGAAGCAAATCCCAGATATCTATTTAATGTATAAATATTTCAAATTGCAGCTCTAAAATATTCTTTAAAAATATAATACCATTACCACACCTAAGAATTAACAATAACCCCTTAATAAGCCAAACATCTAGTCAGTGAACACTGATTCCCCTGACAACCTGCCCCTCCTCCAGCCTTCCCCATCTCAAGAGTGGGGACTCCATCCTGCCAGTTGCTCAGGACAGACACTTGCACCATCTTTACTAAGTTTCCTTCTCTAACCCCCTACATTTAATCCACCAATAAATAATGGTGAGTCTGCTTTCAAAATATATCCAGCATTTCATCACTTTTCAGTACCGCCCCTGCCACACTCTGGGCCAAGCTAATATGATTTTCCCCCTGAATTGCTGTAATAGCCACCTAACTGGTCTCTCTGCTTCCGCCATTGCCTCATCTAGTTAGTTCTCCATGCAGCAGCCAGAGCCATCTTTTAAACACGTAGTCAAATCATGTCACTCCTTTATTCAAAGCCCGGCTATAGCTTCTGATGCCATTCAGAATTAACCCCGCTGTTCACATGGCCTTCAAGACTCTATACAATCTGGCCCCTCCGTGAACTCTCTGACTTTATCTCCTTCTGCTCGCCCCATCCCCACCCGCTTCAGTGATCCTGAAACATGGCACACATTCATACTCTTGCCTCAGGGTTTTTTTTTTACACACTTCTCCTTCTGCCTGGAATGCTCTTTTCCTGGATATCTGTGTGGCTTTCTTCCTCAGTTCATGCCAGTCTTTTCCCAAATGCCACCTTTACCAAGAGGGTTGCCTGACCACCTTATGTAAAATAGTTACCACTCCCCCCGACCCCATCATTCTTCACCTCTTAATCCCCTTTCTGGAATTGCATTTATCACTTCCTGACATACATCTCTTCCTCACTGGCGGGTAAGTTCCATAATAGCAGGGTCTTTGTTCTGTTCACTGCTGAATTTCCAGTGCCTAGAGAAGTACCTGGCACGTAATAGGTGCTACATAAATATTTGTTGAATGAATAATTGCTTTGTAGTGTGCCTTTGATCTGACAATGAGCACTTGCTTCCCAACAGTCAATTTGGTGCCCCTTCCTTTGGTTTCCATTGCATCAGATCTCTGGTTATTTAAACCCATAGATAAAAATGCTTAAGAAGGAAGTTTAATTACACATTATATCGAGGAGGCGGAAAAAATTTGTAAAAATCATTTGCAAGTTGTTTCACAACGAATTATAGAAATAAAATATGACTACTTGGGAGTAGCTCAAGATAACAACCATTGCTATAGTTGTTTTTTCTGGCACTTATTTTGAGAGTCTTTTTCCTCAAAATTACAGTTTTTTTTCCCCCTGAGGAATGCCAAAGAAAGACTTAATCATATAACATTAAGTAATACTTATCTCATTTCTGACACTAGGGTCAACCTGGATTTCCTGGCTATCCTGGCACAAAAGTAAGAAGATATCTTTCTGGGGCCTGGCAATTGGTATGCAGCATGTGTCATTTGTTTGTACTTATTTTTTTTTACACTCAAGATTTTGCTTTTGATTCTATTAAGGGAGAAGATGGTAACCCAGGCCATCGAGGAGAGAAGGGGACAAAGGGAATCAGAGGGAAGAGGGTAAGAATCAAAGGAATTTCCCAAAATGCAAAGGGGCCCACATAATGACACTCTACTCACAGGAGCATATTTCCATTGGGTTAATGGACTTCTTAGCAGAAAGCCTGTGTCCTCCTCAGGCAATGCACAGTCATACCTTCCTTGGGCCGCCAACCCACTTCCCACTTGATCCCACTCTCATTTATCTTCTGAATGCAAATGTAGCCCCACAAACGGTAACAACAGAAAATTCAAGCTGGAGTTTCAGTTATGCAATATCAACCTTTAAATAAACAAGTTTGGAGGCACCTCTGTCTTTGGTAAGTCTAGATATCATTTGGAAAGGTACTGTTTTATCTACAGAGCAGACATTGCTATTTCTTTCAGATTCTTCCAAGCCTTAACTTTCTCTTAGCTATTGTGGGACTAGACTCTCAAGAATGTGGCTGCCATCTTGGTGGACTTTGGATCATGTTTTCACTGTGCTTTATAGAGTCTACCATTATAAATCTATTCCTTCAGGTTCTGAAGATTCAATCTTGAAGCGCCACAGTCACTGGCAGCTCTTTTTGAAAAGAGTAACCCTGTGGATATCTTTTTGGAAAGAGTAAACCTTGGTAATGTTTAGCTGATATAGTCAGCGAGGCCTTCTAAGAAAAGAAGATGGACCAGTGTTCAGTGAAGAAAAGAGGAAAGGAAAGATAATGCATATTTTCCAGGCACTCAATAATTGGTATTTTTATACATTGGCAAAGACATAAAGAAAAATTTGATCTATGCCTAGCTTGGCTTGCTGCTGGCTGCTATTGCACTGCTCAGCTAAACTTGTCTCTGGTTTCAAATAAAGAGAGAGAGAGAGAGAGAGAGAGAGAGAGAGAGAGAGAGAGAGAGAGCAAGAGAGAGAGAGAAAACATCAATTACATATAGATAATGCTGTGTCAGTTCAAATATGTGTAAGATGAGCAGTGACCCCATGATTAGCATATACCTTTTCTCTGAAAGACCAGAGGTGGTAGAGGAAATTTTCTCCTGATGCCAGGTCCTCAATGCATATTTTCCTGCATTCTTTAAATTATATGACTTGGAGGCTCAACTGATATTGACATCCTTTAAGGCTCTATTTGGAAGTGTGTGTTTGTGTGTGTGTACACATGTTTTCTGGGATTAGGTGTGTAGGGGGGATTTAGATGGTTCCCATAAAGAGACCCCTTCTCTTTCTAGTTTCTGAGCCTCACTCCACTGATTACAGTTCATAAACTAACGTGTCCATCTCAGACTCATTGGACCTTAGATATAATGACAACTTAGTATCTCAAAGTGGGTCTGATGGCTTTAATCAAGTTGTATTCATGGGAGAATGCTTATTCCTTTTCTTTGGTCATTTTTAGGGTAATTCTGGCTTTCCTGGATTTGTTGGAACTCCAGGTGACCAAGGCCCTCCAGGACAAAGGGTAACATGGACTCTTTTTTCTCTTATTTTCAACCTTTGTGTAAAAATGAATAAAGATTTGATAAGAGGTCTCTCTAAGAAGAAATGAACATTTGGGATACACAAGAGGACCTATACAGGGAAGGGGCCACATTTGCTTTACATTCGCTTTAAGTCCTTACACTATATTTTTATTCAATTTAAATGTTGTACTTGAGCATGGGGACGATATTAGAGTGGCTGGAGATTTATGAGTCTGTGTAAATACACAAAACAATATGTAATACTCACTGGAGAATGAGTTTATCAATGTAAACAAGATGAACAACAACATTTATGCAAAAACTAGAAGGAAATCATAACAAAATGTGACATTTATATAATCTTAACTGAACTGACAATGTTGCAAGCCCACGAATGTTTTTTATTTTTTTATTTGTTTTATTTTTTTTTTAGCCCACATATATTTAAAAAATTCCCTGGAAGGTTGTTTGGTATGAAAGGAAAGACTTGGGGCTACTGTCATTTTGCCCCATGCCTCATCAGGCTAGGCTGTCATTACATGAGGGATGACTCAGTAAGCCAGCCGTGGGTAGAACCTGGTGGCTTCATTGCAGTGTGGGGTTTACGGGAGAGGTGCAACAAAGTCATAGAATCAACAATCTTAGAAGTAGAAGGACAACTCGTGCCCATTTTATGGAAGAGGAAACAAAGGCTGAGAAGATTATAGCGACTTACCCAAGGTTACAAATTACTGCCTTGCAGAGTTTATATAAGAACAAAGATCTGTAGACTCCTGGAGGGCCTGGAGTCAGGCAACTCTATGCTGAAGGAGCCAGGGAAGACTTGTTCAGTACTAGGGCAGAGATAGTGTGGTGGTGGGTGGCCTGAGGAAGAAAGGCATGGAGGGAAGGACCGGGGTCTACTTTAGAGCTGCCTATGAATGGTCCTGAGTTCTTGAAAGACCCTTTCCTGAATTTTATCCTCAACTATGTCTTGGTCTCAAGATGACTTGATCTTCTAAAAGTCTTTATGTATCATCTACCTGGGCATCCTAGACTACAAGGTCTGGGACACATCTCCTAGGTACTCTGACCTCCTTCCTTTAAAGGGTCAGACAGAACTCCAGGGCCAGGAGTAAAGGACAGAGGTGATCCATATACTGTGGTGAACTTCTTCAGAACCTCTTGTGAACTCTGGAGAAAAATGTATTGAACCTCAGAATTTTGCATTTTAAATCTGTTTCTGTTCTTTCCAGGGTATCAAGGGCCCCAAAGGCATGATAGATATGACGGTAGGTGAAGATTTTAATTCTAAACTTTATTTTTTCAGAACACAAAGCTTTCTACTTTTACGAAATAGGAATCTATAAAGATTCTTTAGTTTCTAGTAGATTGGGGGAGGAGGATTATCACTTTGTGAGGGGTGTAAAGGTCTAATTATTACATTGTTTTGTACACCTGAAACTAATAAAAATTTTTTTTTGTACTATTAAAATGTTTTGTATACCTGAAACTAATAAAAAAATTCTCTTAGTATTTTACACTTACAGACTTTACTCTAGAATGTTATAACCAAACAAATAAAAAGAGTAAAATAATATTTTAAATCCTGGAGGGAATCTGGATATTTTTGATTAACACTAGTTGACATGAAAGGAAAGACTTGGAGACCACTACCCCTGTGCAATATGCCTTTTTGTAAAGTTCAAAAATTGCTTCTAATACACAGCACAGTAGAGGCCTTTGTGTCTCATGGCACATCTGAAAACAATCTCAAAATTATGATGGTTTTTCATCTTCCAAGTACAGAAATGCTATTGTGGGTGGGTAAGGGGGGAATTGGAGGCAATGGAGGAGCAGGAAGTGATGGGATTGGGGGGAAGAACAGGACAGAGAGGAAGTGATCACAGGAACAAAGCAGAATTCTAGGAGAGGTGTCAGCAGTACCTGCCTTAGAAGTCATTCTAAAAAAGTATACCAGGGATTGCTAACATAGAGATATAAGAATTAAAGGCATTTCTCCCCCTTCTGTGGTGAGATTCCTGGATTTAACCTTCTTCAAAATCAAATTCGATTCCATTGCTTTGCGAGGCAGATGAGAAAAATAAGCTCCTTATCTACCTATCTCTAATAATATGGGCACTATATTGTATGTAAGATAGTTTAAATATTTTAAAATGTCCACTGGATCTAGAAATACAACTGTTGGATGGTTTCATTTGCTATAACAATTTTCGGATTTTCTGTTGTAGCTCAAAATGCTTCAGATAGGCAATGATAAAATATCCATATGACATTTCTAAGTCACCAGAGTATACTGAGGAGGAGTATACTTCAAATTAAATACTTTTTCATTTTTCCTCTCTTTCTCCATCTTTCTAACAGCCTTGTGAAATTGTTAACTTCACACGAGAAAACTGCCGTAAGTTAAAAAAGGCTCAAAAGGAGCCAGTGGTGTGAAATGGGATGAGTCATGGATTGAGGACATAAGTCAGCATGGATTTGACTGAGGTTTGGGTGGTGCCATTATCCCTTAAGATAGGCTCCTGTAAATGAATTTATTTAGCTCAGTAGCCCCTTGGGTAAGTAATCTTCCTCAATGTGGTCTCAGAAATGAAGTGGTTAAAAGGCATGTCATCTCAATGGGGAAGAAAAATTTCGCTGTACAACATGGTGCCCCATAAAATGTAACGATAATTGCACAACTGCATGTCTACATCTTGGTGCTTCTTATCATGAAAAAGACAAAGAAATCTTTGTTCTTCTTATCTCACCAATTTAAACAAGAAGGATTACCAGTGAGCTTTCAATAAGAAATGTGTCCTATTTTATATTTATGTTTTAAAAATGGAATTACGAATCATCAAATATTAAGGAATGTTTTATCACATTCTCAGATTGGAATTTATTTTTTGGCTTGAATGTATTCTAGGATATTTACATCCTATAATACACACATTTCTCCACTTACTGGCAATAGGGAGAGAACATTGACTTGGCAAGTTGCTTAGTTTGAGAGCTTGGGTTTTCTCCACAACTTTCCTTTCTCTTTTTACTCCAACTTCCATATTCTGTTCATTCCCATCTAGTTCCTACTCAGGAAGATTATGGAATTCTATTTCCTAGAAATCATAAAGAAAAATACCATCGTCTTGACCACAAAGGAAAAGTGTCAGAGTAGGCTGTATAGAAATTGAAAACCCCTTTACATTGAAGAGCACTGTAAAACCAAAAGCAGACAGAAAAAGGGGAAAAAATATATGTGATATAAGCAATGGACCCAATCAAAACACTTAACTTCCTAATTCTATCATGTCAAAATATATAAAATTGCTGCTACTCAATCATTTTCATCTACACACAAATATTTCATATTTACTAACCTAAATATAAAAAACTCTTTTAGATCGAAAATAGGCAACAAATATGAATGAAGGATTCAGAGAAGAAAAAATGCAAATGAAGAACAAATCTAAAAATGTTTGACCTCACAAGAAGTCAAAGAATACAAATTAAAATGAAACACTCTTTTTGTTTCTCAAATTGGAAATTTAATTAAATTTATTGAGGTGACAATGGTTAGTAAAATTACATAGGTTTCAGGTGTATAATTCTGTAATACATTATCTATATATCACATTGTGTGTTCATCACCCAGAGTCAGTTCTCCTTCCATCACCATGTATTTGACCCCCTTGACCCTCTTCTACCACCCTTCCTACCCCCAGAAGTATTTTTTAAATGACAAAAACTTCCCTATCTAAATGTGGGAAATGTATAAAAGTACTCATTGCTGGTAGGAGTGACTTCAGTGCTCAATGGCAGTGACAGAAACATATTTCTCAAATCAGAGCCTGAAAGTGGCTATTCCAGGGTTGATAGTGAGCTCCATGGGGTTCAGGGATGCCGGCTCTTTTTATTTTCTAGCTCTGCCATTGGGGTGAAAATGTTCTGTTTCTCAAATTACCTCATGGTCTCAGATGTCTATGAAGCTTCCACTTGCAAGAAAAGGAAAGGAAAGGAGAAGGCTAATTTCTCCAAATTGTACCTACCATTTTTCTTATTCTATTATCCAGAACTTAGTGAGAACTCTACTCCACTGGGAAATGAAGTCTTTGTTCTAGCAAGCCATATGCCCAGCCACAGATTGTGTTCTATTACTATAGAAAAAGAAAGAATGAATATTGGGGAACAAGTAGAGGTCTCTGCCACACTCAGGCAGGAGGAGTCAGAGAAGGCCAAGCTTGAATTTCTCAGAGGAGATTGGTTTTTCATCTTGAAGCACTCAGTTGGAAAAGATGCCACTGCTTATGTAAGCTAACAATGTCTTCTTTTCTCTCCAACATAATTTTCTTTCCAGCTTGTTCAAGAGGTAAATAATGTTTCTTATTCACTCAAATCTTCACCTGTTTAGAGGCATTGCAGAAAACCTTAAATCTGTGTATTTATTGTGTCAAGGTGTTTCCAAATGCCCCGCGTTTCCTACTGAAGTGGTCTTTGCGTTGGACATGTCAAATGATGTCACTCCATTGGATTTTGAGAGGATGAGAGACATTTTATTGTCTCTGTTGATGACGATGGAAATAAGTGAAAGTAACTGCCCAACGGGTGCTCGAGTGGCCATAATTTCGTACAACTACAAAGTAGATTACCTGATTCGCTTCTCGGACTACAAGGGGAAGCCTGCTCTCCTGCACGCAGCCAGTAAAATCCCCCTGGAAAAGTCCTCTGGCAGCAGGAACCTTGGGGATGCCATGAGGTTTGTGGCAAGACACGTATTTAAACGTGTGCGCTCGGGCCTTCTCCTGAGGAAAGTGGCTGTGTTCTTTGAGGTGGGCCCGACCCGTGATGCACGTTCCATCAACACCGCCGCACTGGAGTTCAGCGCGCTGGGCATCATCCCTGTCGTCATCGCCTTCACAGAGCAGCACAACCTCCCACACGCCCTGTTGGTAAGTGGAGGAACCACCTGGGGGGCCGGGGAAGCGGGGCGGTTAGTACATGGTCCTTATCCCTCCATCAAGGACCACATGAGGTATGAGGTGTTCTGTTCAGGGGAAGAATTTCCCAGAAATAGGTGTGTAGGCATGGCGGGCAGGGGGTCTCCTTATGGACTCGACTGCTAATGCTGCTACTAGTGCCGACTGGCCATTCTCGAGCCCTTATTTTGTGCTATGTGCCTCATAAACATTATCTTATTTAATTATCACCCAAACGCTATACGGTAGGCTTATTTCAGAAATAAGGAAACTGAGGCTTAGAGAGGTTACATCTACCATTGAAAGTCAAGTATCTACTTAGTCACAGACTGATATTATTAATATCTGTATTCAGAACCTATGCTTAACCACTATTCTAAATTGTATCATGGGGGTCCATAGAATGTAATTTTCCCTTTCTTTCTTTCTTTCTTTCTTTCTTTCTTTCTTTCTTTCTTTCTTTCTTTCTTTCTTTCTTTCTTTCTTTCTTTCTTTCTTTCTTTCTTCCTTC